GCCACCGACTCCCAAATGACAAGTCTAATTTAAAGGTTTTTTTAAAAAATGTTTGTTTGTGGCACAAATTGAAAATGTTTACTACAGCCATCTGTATTTTCTTGTTACTATTCTCCATTCGTTGCTGTGTTTGTAGTCATGTATATCCACAACCCTCTGTCTTTTGTAGTTTTAATCAGTTTTGACACAGATGATGGCAATGTGTTCAGTATCTTTTTGACTCTTTTCGTTTATAACTTTCTTATTTTCACTGTGTACTCCAGTTTTAACATATGGCTGTGAATACTGGACAATCGGTAGGCAGGCCAAACAATTTCTAGAGGCCTCAGAGATGTGGTTTTACAGAAGAAAGTTTAGAATTCCTTGGACAGCCAAAAAGAGCAACCAAGAGGTTTTGAAAGAGGCCGTAGTCCGAAGACAACTTATCACAGACATCAGATCATTTTTCGGCCATGTTATGAGAAGAGGAAAAATAGAACATGTTGTGACCACTGGAAAGATCTGTGGAAGGAGGGATAGAGGAAGACAACGAGAGAAGATGCTTGACAGTCTTGTTGCATGGCATGGAGTTGTGTCGGCACACGAACTGATACATGCTGCAGGAGATCGCAGATTATGGAGAGGCATGATCGCCCACGCCAGTCGGCAAGGCACCTGGTGATGACCCCAGGTTTGTCTTCCCTCTCATGTTATGACCAAAGAATGTAGATTTACAGTGTGTACAATCAATACCCTCCCTGAGTTGATTTCTGTCAAGACATCTTTATTACTCATTTTATTTGTCTAAGGTATTTGCATCATTTGTCTATAGAACAAAATCCATTGTTCATTTCCGTATATCACAATATGGTTTAGGTCATTATTATCGACGACTAGCGTAGGCGTCCATGCATCTCCCCAGATATCGGTCCCTTGCCCGCTGAATCAGTTCCACCTTTGATATACCTCCGTGTCACCGTCACATATCCATCTATCATCTTCTCTCTCGGTCTGCCTCTCTCTCTCTCTCTCTCTCACACACTCTCTCTCTCTCTCTCTCTCTCTCTCTCTCTCTCTCTCTCTCTCTCTCTCTCTCTCTCTCTCTTCTGCCCACGATCTTCCCAGTCGTCACAATATTTATGATTTATGTAGCTCTCGATTAGCATCCCTCTTATTGTTGATTGTGTAAAATATTCATATGCTTGGTCTATTCTACATATAGCTTTTTGTGAGCAAGCGCAAATACAGCCACATGTTTCCTAAATTACTATATTTTCTCAATTTTGAAGTGTAACTTGTGTCCTCAGCTTGCTGAAGAATAAACCCAAACCAACCATGCAGGAGGTAGAAGACGCTTTCGACTCAACCATCTGCCGATGTACAGGTGAGACTACTTATTAAGCCATCTTCAGTGAATGTCCATAACATATTCAAATTATGTATGTACAAAACACACACACACACACACACACACACACACACATATATATATATATATATATATATATATATATATATGTGTGTGTGTGTGTGTGTGTTTGTGTGTGTGTGTGTGTAGGAGTCACCGTGACATAAAGGCTAGACGCTAGCATGCGGATAGGAAGGTCCTGGGTTCGCTTCCTGGCGGAGCCGGACGTTTTCTCAACAACAACAACAAAAACTTGGCATCCAGGTCGACCCAGGTTGATGGGTACCGGGTGAAGTCCTGGGAAGTAAAGGCGGTTGGCGTGGTACTGATCACATCACCCATCCTATGCATTTGGTCTATAAAATATATGTCTAGCCCTATATACCCTATACCCCTGAAAAGCTTGGAAAGGGTCGTTTACTTACTTTACATATATATATATATCATCAGCAAAATATCAGCAAACTATAATTCAGTTACAACACATATTTGTGACATCAACTGTTTAGTTTTAAACTATAACCACTTGCAATATTCCATGATTCTTCATTTACAGCGTTGAAATAAAACGTAAATTATAATTAGTTGGAATGACACACTCTACCCCATGTTTTCTTTCTAAAATAGCCAGGTTCTTCTTGATTGTATGGTTGCTGCCATATTTCATTGATATTCTTTAGGTTACCGATCAATCCTTGATGCGATGAAGTCATTTGCTGTCGATGGACCTGCAAGTTCCTGTGGTGGAGTTATCGACATCGAAGTATGTCTGTACTGCTATAATTATAGTGTGATACACTGGAAGGCTAATTCCACAGGGAAGGGGGCAAGGGTGTGTCTAGAAGTTCTGGAAGATACTCAACACTAAACTGGAAACAGAGGCAGACTTTTAATCAGGTTGCAGCTGGTACCATTAGCATATCAACACTTCGTTGGCTGCTGAAGAAGGGTCCGAGCACGTATGGGAATGTCCCAAGTGCAGTGCTGTCAGTTCTTGTTCAATTAATACATTCGTTTATTCATTTTTATGATAGGAATGCTACAGTAAATTGGTACCAGGAAAAGTGCTAGGAAGTAAAGGTGGTCGGCACCATGTTGACATCACAACCGAGTGACGATTGGTTTATAAAATATAGGTCTAGCCCTGTATGCTAAATACGTCTGAAGGCGGGAAAAGGGTCCTGTAAACACGGTTAAATGAAGCACCAGTTTGTTCGCCTGATGACAGCTGTTTGGACAACATATCCATAGTGAAAGTATTTACGGACAAAATATTTATGGACAACATATCCAAGAACATATTCATTGACAACGTATTCATGGACACAATTTTTATGGAAAACATATTCATGGACAAAATATTCATGGACAATATATTATTAGACAAAATATTTACGAAATACATAATGACGGACAACATATTCACGGTTAACATTTTCATGGACAACATATTTACGGACAAAATAGTCATGGATAACATATTCATGGAAAACATATTCACGGACAACATAATCACAGACAACAAATTCATGGACAACATGTCCACGGACAACATATTCAAGGACAACATATTCACGGACAACATAATCACAGACGACATATTTAAGGACAACATATTCCCGCAAAACAAATTCATGGACAACATATTTACGGACTACATATTCATAGAAAACAAATTCACGGACAACATATTCATGGACAACATATTCACGATAACATTTTCACGACAAGATATTCATGAAAAACATAATCATTCACAATATATTTATGGAAAACTTTTTTATGGAAAACGTATTCACCGTAAACATATTCACTGACAACATATTCACGGACCATAATCATTGACAACATATTCACGGGCGATATATTTGTGTCCAACATACTCATGGACAACATATTTTCACGGACAACATTTTCCTTAGCCATATGTATGCAAACAACATATTGTGGAAAACATATTCTTCATGGACAACATTTTCACGCAAAACCTTTTCATGGACAACATATTCACTGGCAACATATTCGTGGACAACATATTTATTGACAGTATATTTATAAATAACATATTCACGAAAAACATATTCACTGACAACATATTCATAGACGACATATTCACGGAGAACATATCCACTGACACCTTATTTATGGACAACAGATTCACGGACAACATATTTATTGGCGACATATTTCGAACTTGGAGATAACGACCCAAAAACCAGGGAGCGATACCTAGTCTTTCACGAGTCATGGCATAAAAAATGTATTGGAGCAGCTGATCGCCAGCAGAGATCTCTTTGCCTGTTATCCACATACCAGTCACTGTAAGTCAAGTACCGGACCCTTACCTCCCCCGTGGCACAGCTAGAATTCGATGCTGCCAGCACACTACATATTTTCATGTGCACAGATAATATATCTTGGCAAAACAAAGTCTTTGTGTACCGACGAGGAAGCAACACACATGCAATTACGGCTACACTACAGCAAGAATTAGACCGACTTTGTGAGTGGTGCCAGGGAATCAAGAGCATAGTTATACCTGGCAAAGGTTTCCTTAGAGTGGTTTTCTTTGAATACCCACATTGTCAGTAAACCTATACTAGTCGTGAGCATGTGCGGTATAGACATCGACAAAACGAACACTTAGCATCACTTTCGACAGTTGCCTATCATACAAGTACACAATGTCATAGGTAGAGCCAGAAAAGGTCAGATGGCGCTGAAGGCGGTGGCATAAGCCGGCATTAAACAACGCCTACTTTTTCTTCTCTGTCATGGACTTGTAAAAAGTATTATAGACGATGGTCTGGATCTTCTCACTGTCAGCAGAAACCGGCTGGAAAGCTGCTTTTAAATATCATCAATCGGCCGGTGATTTACAGAACGCCTTCTCCCTAGACAGTTTTTCCACCCTACGTGCTATCATAGGCAGTGCATCTGCAATGTCTTGTGTCGACTTTCGCAGATGTCTGGCTCTGCCTTGTTTTCCGGAAACTACCCTCCAGCAGAGTTCTCTCCAGGCCACTATGACGTTGAACGTAGCGAAAATACATGAGCTTTTGGGACAATATGCTTTTCATGAACCAAATCCTTTCGATGCTCAGATCATGAAGGATGCAAATATTTTTCATCTTCTTGGTTTATGCTATTCTCAGAATTTTTGTGCAGCATTTCAGTTCTGAAGCTCCGATTTATTTCTTTGATGACTGACTTACATCCAGAAATATGTTCTATATACAAGCATAATAATCTAATGAAATCGTTAAATATATTATTTCAAAGTAACAATACCATTTGTAATTGATTGCAGGAACTAGATAGGAAAATGTGTGGAAAAACTGGCTTTCCTTGTCACTCTGTTTTCGACCATGGGAACACTCAGCTGCAGATTTTCAACAATGGCGTTCGTTGGATTAAGCCTGTGACACTGTCTGAACTGTGTACTCTGCTGAAAGACTACAGGAAAGATGGCTACAGGCTTGTCTTTGGAAACACGGGCTTTGGTGAGAACTGCAGATTGGGCAATCCTAAAACAAATTAATGTGTGTCTGCTCGTACTTTTATAACTGATTAATAAGACTGTGCCACAGTGGTTACCTTGTTACTCAATGGAAGATTCGGCTCTCATGTGAAGGTTGCAAGAAGATCTCAGTCTGTTGACGTGTCACCAATAGCACACGTGTCAGTTAGTTTCCCTCACCTTACCTCCTCTCTCTCTCTCTCTCTCTCTCTTCTCTCTCTCTCTCTCTCTAATATATATATATATATATATATATATATATATATATATATATATATATATAAACACATAAATGGTACGACTCACGTTTTCAGGCCCGGGGACATCGTGATTTGCCGTTTATCAAAACGTCTTAACGTTTCACACGCCCGACTTTCTCTTACATGGGTGTCAGGTTGCAGTCTCCTACACTATCACGGTGATATCCCGCGTTCCATACTGCACCATGTTCCCGCCACTTTTAACAACCCCATAACATCTACAACTGGCCGTAACTCCAAACCCCCTAAGGGGCAGCCTCAGCCTATAGATCCCACGAGAGAGTGAATTATATGCAGTGATTTTATTTCTTGATTCATTCCTTCACTGTTGTTAATGAGTCTGTTTAGAAAAATATAAATCCGACTCTTTTAAGGTTTTCCCGCGGATGCAAGGTGACCAGCAAGGGCAATATCCCCCCCCCCCCCCTCACTTCTTTGAAATGTTTGCCCGTGTAAGCTATTGTCTAAAGGTTTCGAAACCTCGCTGAACCCTTTGTTGCTGCATAAACCAGTATTTTAATTCATTGTCACATAAGGCTGGCAGTCTGCTTCGCCATTGCTTTCTATCCTGTGCAGTCAGTTCAATATCAAGGATGGAATTCAGTCCAGGAGCTTTGGCCTCTCTCATCAACGTTCGTTTTAGGGTTGTTGTTTTTCCGTCCTCGCATCTTTAGTCCCTTTATTTTACATTTTAATGCCTGGTTGGTGGTTTTCTGCTGGTTTCTTCTCTGACTGTGCTCAATGCAGCGCCTTCTTTTCTGACGTATAACTGTTGATACTACTGGTTGTCCAAATATTTTTATTTTCTTCACTCCTGCCGAATTAATCCAATTTTATTCTCTTCAGTTTTCTCAGACATTTAGTACTATGATTACATACAGTATAATGTCATGATGACTATGATGATGATGATGATGATGATGATGATGATTATGACAGTAAAATGGCATTTGATGCTTGTGAATTGTTCATATTTATCCAACTAATTGTGAGTGTTCACTGTAGGACTGTTCAAGGAACTTCAAACTGAAAATTTCAAGACACTGATAGACATCCGTGGCGTGGTGGAGCTATACAACGTTGATGTGAGTACGCAACAGTAACAACAACAACAACAAAAACAGCAACAAACAAGAGCCAAACAAGTCTCTACACTGAATCAACAATAGTACTACTAAATACAGAACTAATATTATTTCCTCCCTAGTCTTCAGAATATAACATTACCCTCAACTGGAATAAACATAGCCTTACCAGTATATCACAGCTGAGGACACGCGTTAAAGAGAGAGTGAGAGAGAGAGAGAGAGAGAGAGAGAGAGAGAGAGAGAGAGAGAGAGAGAGAGAGAGAGGGAGTCTGATTCGTTTAACGGCATCGTGCATCGGATTTTACTATTCAAGAAGAGGATGGTTACTCACGATCTTTGGAAATCCTTGTTTCTGATTGTTTTGCATGAGTAAGTCACAAGACATCATGGGAGAATTCATACAATTGGACACAAATCTCAACACAAGGCTGTGTGTGTATGTATACTTTAGCTAACACATTCGCACTTGTTACTTGTTGCTCGTATCGACATTCTAGCACATCGGTCCGACCCGTCCGATGCAACAACCATCTTAGTATCTCCCTGCTTAGCAAATCTAGTGACAATTGACCGGCACGTCTGTTTTCGTACAATTATTTGGAACACATAATAAAATAAATAACATTGAGCAATTATAAGTATCCGATATTCAGTTATGAAAGTGGTAATGGGCATCAAGCTGCAAAAATAGCTGTTCACGTGTGAAGGTCATGGTCTTCTTCTGCATCATGTGGTTATGTTAAATTGTAGTATTGATTATGTGGTTATGTTCTACTTCAGTATTCTTCTTCTTCTTCTTCTTCGCGTTCACCAGCTGTACACTCTGGTGGAAAGTTCTGATTGTTCGTCCACTTCTGAACTGCAGTCCTGCTCCAGAACCTGAATGTTGCATGTGCATCAGTTTTACAAACCTGATTCACTTGAATGCAGACTGTTGGTTCCTTGCCTCTCAGGCAGATGCACTCCGACTTCAAAGGAAGCTCCCCAATTAGTCGACTCTTACGACATGCTTTTGGGTAGGCAGAGAGTCTATTCTTGTTCTCCCCACAATGGGGCCCCGGAACCCACACGGGGATACTTCAGTATTGATTTTGTAGCTATGTTCTATGTCAGTGTTGATTATGTGCTAAATTTTTATGTGAATGTTGATTTTGTGCTTACGCTCTATGTGAGTGTTGATTATGTAGTTATGTTCTATGTGAGTACTGTTTAAGTGGTTGTGTTCTATGTGAGAATCGATTATGTGATAATATTATCTGTGAGTATCGATTAAGTGGTTATATTAAATTTGAGTGTAGATTATTTACCTGTGTTCTATGCGAGTATGGTTATGTTAAATTTTACGTAAATACACATGGGACAATCCTGTTTCAGCGATAAACTTTCTTTCTCGCTGTCACTTTATCAAGTTTTGTTTAAACAGTTTATTGTTGCTAGGCCTTATTCATTTCCTTATTTTAACCACCTAAAATTTTTTCATCTTCAGCTGGACAAACAGAGCCACATCAGTCTAGGAGCAAACCTGACGCTGACCAACCTAAAGGAACTTTTCGAATCCATCGATGACCCTAGTGTCCCCTACAGTCAGGATTTTGCCAGACACTTGCAGTATGTCACCTCAAATGGTGTACGCAATGTAAGTCTATTAAAACTAATTTAAGTCAACAACAAACAAAAAAAAAACGATCTAAACAATACCCTTCCTAAAGTAACTGAGAAACAAATGGCTGGATTGGCTTTTTACCCCACCAGGACATCACACAAGCGATAAACACCCGATGACACAAAGTGCCACCATGCGGATGAGGATCACCGTGGAGAGGTCCCAGAAACCGCGTTCAGACATTTGGCCATAATTATGACCTGCCTATATTGCGGCCCCTGGCAAAAGCCAGAGTGGGGCTCCAAATAACAAAAAATAACGTCCTAAGAAGGACGTAAAAAGTTCTTTAACACTGAAAAACAAAGACGGAAAAGCTTTTATTTTGCGTGTACCAGCTTCACAATTTTGCTGTCACAAACAAATTTTCCATCTAGTTTTCGAATAGGATGGTAAAGGACATTTTGTCCACTGGTACAGAACATAACAGCTATGTGGCCACACGTCTGTAGTGAAGTTGGAAACTAGCCTAACAAGGAAAAATTAACGACTTTTATTGTAAAACTTTCGCATAATATATTTTAGATATCAATACTATTATCGATTTAACGGATTTTCATTATATTAGCATTTATGCGTAAAAATTATTGAGTGTCTAGACAACAATGTCAACCAAACCGATATATTTTGTTACATGAAAAGCTTTATCTTTACGCTTTGCTATGTTATTTCACTGCATATATATTCTAGTTCTTGACTGAAAACCTTTTTTCATGACATGTTTTCATATTCCAACTGTTGTGGACAGCTCGGATGTTGGGCTGGGAACTTGATACTGAAGCATCTACACCGGGAATTTCCATCTGATGTCTACACGATGCTAGAGACTGTTGGAGCAACCGTCAACATCGGTGAGTTAATTTACGTTTATTTATGCTAATAGATTATTTGAGAGTAGAATTAAAGGAAATATACTCGCCCCTTATGTAAGAACTTTCCATCAGAGTTTACAGCCGGTAATCGTGAAGAAGAATTTGGGTGGCTGTGAAACAGTAATTATCTAGGCTATTGTATTTTACATTATCTATAGATATTATATACTGGGTATTCGTATGCGTAAAATCATTGTTCTAGAAAATACCTATGCGAATTAATTCGTTATTAAATTAGGAAAAACGTCGCAGCTCTCGGGGTATTTCCATACGTGCTCAGTCTCCTTCCTCAGTAGCCAAAGAAGAGCCGACATACTAATGGTGCCTTTTGCAACCTTGTTTAAAGTTAGGTGGTCTTATTGGGGTGGCACTTCTCTTAAACGTTTTTAACATCATCCATTTGGTTAAAGAGACAGATATACAAGTGTACCAAGCGGCATCGTCACTCACATTGACACATACAATTTCTAGCACTTGGGACGTATTTCTAACAAATTTTATCTACCGTGTGAAAATTTTCACGACCAAGCAGGACGTATGACCAGTTGGGAGTTTAATCAATCAAACATATGCCGAGCTGCCAAATATTACCTTTATTGTACCTACTTTTGCGGTGTAGGCAGGGGGGTGGGAATGTGGGGGTGGTCTTTGAGCCTGATGATTTACGGCCGCATGGCTAGTGCTGGCGCCTCAATGTGCAGGTGGGGATTTTATTTTTCCCCTGACTGAAAAAACCCAACCTTGCCGAGGATTCGAACCCGAGTCTCCCGCTTGAGAGCCCCGCCTTCTCACCGTTCGGCCAGCGACCCCTCTATGCCTAGCTACCATTTTATTTTTACTGGAGGAGCTTTTTTGCTTTGGGAATTGCGACAGCGACTGCCGGCCCTACAGTCTTTTTGGTCCAATCCATATAGAGACAGCCTTTTATTTATAGCCCTTTTTCCTTAGGTCGACTCAGCCTTAGTACCAGTAATTGCATGGGAAGTAAAGACGGCCAGTGGAGTGCTGATCACCTCACCCACCATGTGCCAGCTGGACTATAAACATTTTTGTTTGGCATCTCATGTTCGATGTGTCATTGGCGTTAAAAGATTCTTTTACTTTTAACTACACACTTTGTTTATTGTGTCTTGAGGAAAAGAAATATACGACGGATTTTTTATAATCAATCCTTTAATTTTCATTAATCAGTTTGTTATTTTCCAACAGCTGATGGCAAGGGAAGAACTAAGAACTACACACTCCTGGACTTCCTAGCCCTGAAAATGGCTGGAAGGGTCATAGTGTCCGTTGATCTGCCCAAATTTGCAAGCGGGAGCACCATCATCAGGACCTTTAAGACTTCGCCAAGACTACAGGTACCACTGTCGCGTCTTATCTTGTGGAAATCATAATTTCTTGAACTTTTAGTAATTCAATGTATAATCACCTGTCTCCTCTATGTTTGTATGTAACTTTGAAGACTCATCTATGTTTGTATGCTACTTTAATGACTTCTCTATGTTTGTATGTTTCTTTAATGCTCCTCTATGTTACTTTTATGACTCCTTTATGTTTGTATGTTACTTTGATGACTACTTTATGTTTGTATATTTCTTTGATGACTTCTCTATGTTACTGTTATGACTCCTTTATGTGTGTATGTTACTTTGATGACTCCTCTATGTTACTTTTGTGACTCCTTTATGTTTGTATGGGACTTTGATGACTACTTTATGTGTGTATGTTACTTTGATGACTCCTCTATGATTGTATGTTACTTTAATGACTCCTCTATGTTTGTATGTTACTTTAATGACTCCTCTATGTTTCTATGTTACTTTGATGACTCCTCTATGTTTTTATGTTACTTTGATGACTCCTGTATGTTTGTATGTTACTTTGATGACTTCTTTATGTTTGTATGTTACTTTGATGACTTCTTTATGTTTGTATGTTACTTTGATGTCTTCTCTATATTTAAATGTCACTTTGATGACTTCTCTATGTTTGTATGTTACTTTAATGTCTTCTCTACGTTTGTATGTTACTTTAATGTCTTCTCTATATTTGAATATTGCTGTGACATATGCTTAGTTAATATTTATAAAATCTGCAGTGCTAATTCAATGATAGCTTATGAGTTAACCCCCATTCACTAGAAGGAAGTCAATGAAGATGATAGACCTGGCTGACATGAAAACAGTTTAGAAAGTGTCCAGATGGCAATACTTTGAAATGCATGTGTTATTTAACACAAGACGATGTCGTTGTTGTCCTTGTGGCAGGTTCGAACCTCAGTGGCGTCAGTATACCTTTACATGTGTTTATTGTATAGTATATCCTCTATTATCGTCTTTTGCGGCTATGTCTTTAGCGCCAATCAATACTTGTGAATTTATTTTCTATGTAAAAAAAAAAAATAATACTGCCTGTGCTGAGCATTTTGGTGGTGAAAGCCGGGTCTTTGAGGCCTAGGATTTAAGGCAGCATGACTAGTACTGGTATCACAGACTGTAAGGTTAGGATTTTATAACCCGACCCCCCCCCCCCTTAAACCCCCTTTCCATCCCACCCTACCCCCACCCCCTCCAACTCTCCCCCAAACAAGCACAAGTGCATGATCTCTACATACCATACTAGTAAAAGGTTATTTGTACACAATACAATAAATAAGATTTTTGTTAATTTTCTTAGCATTGTTCCGAGTTTGTGTGTGTTTTTCAGTTAAGTATTCCTCATGTCACCAGTGGATTCAACTTCCAGATTGACTCCAGTAAAGACTGCTTGATTGAGAAGAAGCCAACGATCATTATACAAGGGATTAGTCCCAACTTGGTCTGTGTGTGTGTTTTTTTTTTTTTTTTAGTTTTGTTGTTGTTTGTTTAGTTTTTTGTTATGTATACTTTCGTAGCTTGTATGTCTTCAGCTATATTACTGTAATTCTTCTATTAATGATGGCAAGGTGGCAGTTTTAGTGAATCACCATCTCCCTTATCAGTGGCGTTGCAAGTTGAGGCAGATGTGCTAACCTATACAAACAGGTCCCGTTGTATGAGGACACAAGTGAGCCTGGGCATTCACAGCTCTATCTGCAGACATAACTATCCATGGAGCCAGCGGGTGCCTTTTCTATGACTACAAGCAGCATGCCGACGGAGGTAACGACGGGTGACACAATGAAATAGCCGATAGACTGACCAGTTCTGCTTTGGTTGCAGATGGCCGGCTTCTGTGTGGCGCCGAATTTTAATATTCCATGGTGAGATAAAACGATTCAAGGATTTCTGCAGCAGTTATCCCATCATCGCCAAGAATGCGAAAATTAGAAGTAAAGATGGTTGGCTTGTGAAGAAAAAAAATCTTCACTTTTAGCTAGCATCCCTAAAGGTAGAGTTTTGGTTATAATTGTGACCTCAATGTTTTGTTCAACATTGTATGACTTAAAAATGCTCAGCACCAATTAGCCATGAAAAAGGATTCATGCCGTGTTGATGCGATCTCCGGAGACAGAATCAAATACTGTCTCGACCAGTGACGAAGTGGGCCAATGGGTGACCCAGTCGACGAAGGGGAGTTAAGATTGGCACAGCCATTTATGAAGATAGGGGAGTAAAGATCGGCACAGCCATGCATGAAGACACATCGGACATACTTAAAGTCTTTTTACAAACACTTGTGAAAGAAAAAGCTAATGAGTATACCAACCTGCAAAGGGAAAAAAACGTGCTTGTTATAAACACTAGAAAAATATTCTATACTTCTGACATCCAGTCATATATAAGACTGTTGCTCTACATTGTGGGATGACCATTGCAATTCAATTATCATGAGGTTAACATCACTTCAAATGCGCGCCATTCCATAATACGTAATAATTACGGGAAAGACAGTTCCAAAACAAATACTGGTCTTACGCGATTGCTGCGTCACGAACTTCTCACTACGGCTAAGGTTATTCACAAAATATTATCCCAAACTGCTTAAGGTTGCATATGGTCGTGGCTTAAATATAGTGGACGGCATAGTAAACGCCCAAACATATTGCATATCCTAAACCAAGGATAGACAAATCTTTAGAAAACAAGTTTAGCATAGTCAACAGCTCAACTGTGGGACCGTCATCCACAATATACAAAAAAATAATGTACCACTAGACCCTATACATACAGTCAGAAAATTTTCTAATATAGATTTTAGAAATTGCGTATATGACATCGAAATTGATTATAATTACTATCGTTTACTGTATTTAGAAAAGAAGAAGTGATTCGAGCACGTTTCAGTTCTTGTATATATATATATATATATATATTATATATATATATATATATATATATATATATATATATAATATATATATATATATATATCATATTTATGTGCTGTTGATAATGTTTACTATTACATGTTAGCAGACATATGAATGAAATAATGAATGAATATTACAGGGTCTCTGTGTCAAATTCTTAACTCTTTAAAAAAAAAGTTTGTTTCCTTCCCCCCTCCCCCCCCCCCCCCCCCCCCTCCCTCCAGGTACACGCCAGCCAGACAGAAGAGTTCTTGACCAACAAAAAACTCTCTGACCCGGATGTGGTGACAAGTAAGAAAGTATTCACATGGAGCTGATACTTTTTAACAATTGTACTTACAATGATTTAGTTCACAACTCACATCTAAAAAATTACACATACATTGAATATTTTAAAAGTAAAAGACGCGCATTACCAGACTGTCTGTAATATTGCAAAGATATCCTTTAGCCTACATCTCAGTTTTCGATGCTGATTGAGTAAGTGTGTATGTATGTACATATGTATTCGTGTATGTTTGTATCTAGATACACTATTCATCTATCCCTGATCCTAGGACGTATACCAAACAATCGTATACCAAACGAATTTTCCCATAGGAAATAAAGGAAGAATAAATAATCTCTTCTCACGGTGAACAATCCAATTGTTATTGACACATTATACATTGATGGAGTTGTATCATAAAAATTATACTTTGCCTACAATTAAAATACATCTATAACAAACCAATTATATGAGATAAATGAAAATATAATCTCACCTCACCTTCCTGGGAAGAGTCGAGTGCCTACTAGGAAGCTACTGAGATGACAGAAGAAGGAGATGTTATTATTTTCAAGCAGAGCTCCCTTCCAATAAAACTTCAGGAATCTTACATTCTTGTATGTGTTCTCTCCTCTCTCTCTCTCTCTCTCTCTCTCTCTCTCTCTCTCCTCTCTCTCTCTCTCTGTCTCTCTCTGTCTCTCTCTCTCCCCTCTCTCTCTCTCTGTCTCTCTCTCTCTCCTCTCTCTCTCTCTGTCTCTCTCTGTCTCTCTCTTCTCTCTCTCTGTCACTCTCTCTCTCTCTGTCTCTCTCTCCTCTCTCTCTCCTCTCTCTCCCTCTCTCTGTCTCTCTCTCTCTGTCTCTCTCTGTCTCTCTCTGTCTCTCTCTGTCTCTCTCCCCCCCCCTCTATCTCCCTCTCTCTCTCTCTCTCTCTCTCTCTCTCTCTCTCTCTCTCTCTCTCTCTCTCTCTCTCTTGTATTTTTTTCGCTACTTGGTCCTTGTGAGAATCCCCAGGTTTGACTTTTGCTAAAAATCTGTCCAAAGAACTTTGCCTCTGCCTTCTTCTCATGCTGTCTGGTCATTCCTTTGCAAAATCGTGTATAAGTATCCTCAGCTAGAGTGAGATAAACAATGATAGTTTACGATGTCGTGACTAAATTTGACTCGTAAAATTTCGAGAACGCGGTTCGTATTCCAAACAAAGGTCGTATACCAAGCAAAGGTATTGGCGTCTATGCTGGACGGTTACCAAGGTAAACATATACCAAAGTGAACGTATACCGAGGTACAACGATGTGTATGAGTGTGTATGTATATATATATATATATATATATATATATATATATATATATATATATATATATATATATATATATATATATATATATATATGTGTGTGTGTGTGTGTGTGTGTGTGTGTGTGCATACAAAAAAGGGGGAGGGGAGTTCAAAAGAGACATGACTGCAGGCGAGGGTAAAACGAATGAACACAAAGTATAACTTGAAAACCAATCAGAGGAAAGATTCATGTAAACACGGGTGAACGTGGCGACAGGGGTATAACTTGAAAACCAATCAGAGGAAAGATTCATGTAAACACGGGTGAACGTGGCGACAGGGGTATAACTTGAAAACCAATCAGAGGAAAGATTCATGTAAACACGGGTGAACGTGGCGACAGGAGTATAACTTGAAAACCAATCAGAGGAAAGATTCATGTAAACACGGGTGAACGTGGCGACAGGGGTATAACTTGAAAACTAATCAGAGGAAACATTCATGTAAACACGGGTGAACGTGGCGACAGGAGTATAACTTGAAAACTAATCAGAGCAAAGATTCATGTAAACACGGGTGAACGTGGCGACAGGAGTATAACTTGAAAACCAATCAGAGTAAAGATTCATGTAAACACGGGTGAACGTGGCGACAGGAGTATAACTTGAAAACCAATTAGAGCAAAGATTCATGTAAACACGGGTGAACGTGGCGACAGGAGTATAACTTGAAAACTAATCAGAGCAAAGATTCATGTAAACACGGGTGAACGTGGCGACAGGAGTATAACTTGAAAAACAATCAGAGCAAAGATTCATGTAAACACGTGTGAACGTGGCGACAGGAGTATAACTTGAAAACCAATCAGAGCAAAGATTCATGTAAACACGGGTGAACGTGGCGACAGGAGTATAACTTGAAAACCAATCAGAGCAAAGATTCATGTAAACACGGGTGAACGTGGCGACAGGAGTCTAACTTGAAAACCAATCAGAGCAAAGATTCATGTAAACACGGGTGAACGTGGCGACAGCGGTCTTCATCAAAGAAAACAAAACAAATACTAAACGGGAACCTCGGTGGTGTAGAGACATGACGCTCATCTTCGGTCCGAAGGTCTTGGGTTACAATCCTCGACGAGTCTGATTTGTGTTTATATTGCTTTGGCACACAGAATAACGCAGCCTAAAATTGTTACCCGGTAAAGTCCTGGGAAGTAAAGGCGGCTGGTGTGATATTGACCACATCACTCATCTAGTGCTAATAGCTTTATACAAATATAAGGCTAGTCTCATGTGTCCGATGATCTAATGACTTGAAAAGGTCCATATTATTTTTTTTTTTTTTAAATTAATGAAAATGAGTCCTGATAGATTATGTTTCGTTTCGCAGCTTGAATGGACAACTTTTGTTAACTTATTGACGAAACATCGAGATAATAGGCAATTATGCAGAGATGTTTTTTATGTATCTAGACGCTGTCAAGACATTGGCAGCGGAACTACACAGCAGTGTACAGTCCTCAGCATCAAGCTCCGCCTACTTGGTTTCCCTGGCAGTTGGTCATTTCTACAAGGTATATCTGGCAGAAATCATTTGTACTTTACCTCTTACCTAATTATCTGATTCTTTAACGGCTAGGTCATAAAACTTTCTTTTGTCTGTACTGATCTTAGTCAACTCATTCAAGTACAGTTGACACTAGCTGTGTCAGTATTCACCATCCTTGACGTTTCAGGGTTCGATTCCCATAGCGGACGGTTCTTTAAAAAAGAAAAGTAAGAAAATGTGGAAGAGATTGGTTCAATTCCTGCGGTGGGCGGTGTAGAAAAATATCAACAATATGATACTGATATTATTATATTGTTGTAACACAGAATTCCAAGGACAGAGGAACAGAAAAACGCTAACAGGCAGCATGATCTGAACATAAAAGAGAATTGGCCCATCGACAAAAGCCAAGATGGTCTCGTGAGAACGGTGACGGAGTGTACAGTGTCCGGGGCACGAGGCAGCGACACACCTCTGCGAAAGTGAACACAGGACATTTAATACGCAGGGGCTATAGTTTTTAAGGTGTGCTGCGAAAAGAGTGTTCTGAAAGGGTATGCTGATTGATAGTATCATGGAAACAATGCTGACTGATTTATTGATGGTAACATAGAAAGGATGCTGCTGGTTAATTGCTTGATTGTAACATAGAAACGATGTTGCCAATTGATTGACTGATTGATTGAATGTAACGTAGAAACGATGTTGCAAATTGATTGATTGATTGATTGATTGAATGTAATGTAGAAACGATGTTGCCAATTGATTGATTAATTGATTGATTGAATGTAACATAGAAACGATGTTGCCAATTGATTAATTGAATGTAACATAGAAACGATGTTGCCAATTGATTGATTGATTGATTGATTGAATGTAACGTAGAATCGATGTTGCCAATTGATTGATTGATTGATTGATTGATTGTAACATAGAAACGATGTTGCCAATTGATTGATTGAATGTAACGTAGAAACGATGTTGCCAATTGATTGATTGATTGATTGATTGATTGATTGATTGATTGATTGATTGATTGATTGAATGTAACGTAGAAACGATGTTGCCAATTGATTGATTGATTGTAAAGTAAAAACGATGTTGCCAATTGATTGCTTGGTTTTAACATAGAAACAATGTTGCTAACTGACTGATTAATTGTAGCATAGAATAGATGCTGCTGATCGATTGATTGATTGTAACATAGAAACGCTTTCAGTTCATCCTAGGTGTGTGCAAAGACACGTGCGACCAGCGCTACATGAGTGGTGGCCTTGACTTCGACCGACCTGTGTCGTCTGCTACCCATGATTACGGAACACCGGATGACACCGTATTTCCGGCCACAAAACCTATGCCGAAGATCACAGCACCAAATTTGGTAATCATTTTAGCATGTACCTTGTCCGTAAAATATACAAACGCTTATTTACATCAAAGTATTTCAGTTTTTGCAATTTCATAATCACAAAACGACAGTCGCTTTTCCAACGGAGGTTTCTTACGGTCACTGAGTCTGGTGGTCCAACTAAAAGAGTCCACAGGTCTCTTGAGGTTTGTCTGCAGCTGGAGCCGGTCGTGGTCTGACCTGTCTAAGCGGATCTTCGTCTTAACTATTTCCAACACAATTTTATCTAAAATTCAGGTTACTCTTTTGCCGTAAATCTGCCATGCCAAGCTTTTCTTTATTCCGGTATCCCTTTCCAACATTGCACCTGACTCTGAGTTTGCCGCTGTCTAGACATGTTAGTATATTTATGTGAGAGACCTCCGTTTGACAGACACGTTTTGTTGTTGTTGTAGTTTAAGTGTTCTTATTTGTAAATTGTATTATTGTGCATTTGTTATATGCTGATGAAGGTGAATAAACGTTCGTTTGTTATTCATGGTTGTGATTCGGGAATTCGACAAGTTTTGCTTTTCATCTAGAGTGATATCTTTCAATGAAAGCCTGGCTAATAAACAACATCCTCTCTCGGACGCTGAGATATGTTGGTCAGATGAAGGAAGCGCCATGGCGGATTGGGGAAAAAATTATAACAGAAGTCATGGTACTGGGAAGAAGAGGCACAGGGAAACCAACACGAAGATAGAGACATGATATAAGTGACTCCTTGAGTATGAAAGTACACGCATCGGGAGAACTGGCGAAAGACCAAGTTGAGACCGTGATGAGAGCGACGTTCTGCAAAGGACCTGCTAAATAATGATGATGGTGATTGTATGTATATATGTAAATACAATTCCATGGACAACTCTTGTCCTATGTCTGAAAGCCATGAGAACAGTTTGTGTGTATACACACACACACACACACACACACACACATACACACACACACACGCACACACACACACACACAGAGAGAGAGAGAGAGACAGACAGACAGACAGACAGACATTTACCATGGCTGTCAGACAGTAGGGTAAGAGGAGATAGAGGAGAGAGAGAGACATTTACCATGTCTGTCAGACAGTAGGGCAAGAGATGGGCCTTGGACGGACAGAGTTATCTCCGGGTATTATCACCAGACTTTACTGCGTTGACATTACAGTCAACCATTACTGTGAAGACGGCGCCTGGTTTTAATTTTAGTATTGTTTCCTAGACAACAGGCGAAGTCAAGTTTGTGAACGATCTGCCTGCAGTCCAAGGTCAAGCCTATGGTGCAGTTCTGCTGAGTTCTCAAGGCAATGCGCAGATCAGCCAGGTGGACCCTTCAGCTGCACTGGTAAGAAAGTGTCTCTAAATCCATGCAATATGTTCACCACAAAACAAAGTCAGTCTCTAAACTCATTGTACCTGTTATCGCTAAAGTATACTGTGAAATGTCGGACAGATTGACGAGAAGCGGCTTTGATGTGGGACACTCAAATAGTGACCTAACTGACCAAGAGTCAGGACGTTAATACACTCTAGTATCCTTCTTCTTCTTCTTTCGTTTGCTTGAAATGGAACGTCTATATCTGCAATTTTGTCTTTAGAATGAACTTCACTGTCTGTTGTAATTCAATCAGTGACCGTATTCTGAGAATCCAAAACATATGGTTGGATACATACACCAGATATTCTCCTCAAGACTCGCTTTATGGCCTCTCGAGAGAGGGACAGTGTGTTATATTTAGACTTAAGGACGTGGCACAACAGACTTCATCAGCATTTGCTCCAACTGTTCGGTGTAGGAAACACGAAGACTTCTCCGTGCAGCTTGAAACCATAAAATGCTGAGCCTGTGCTCAAACACTGTCAACTGTATCCTGCCGCCAGAGACGCACGCATTCTGGCCAGCTGCAACCACAATGAAGACAAAGCTGTATGCTACACATGGAGATGTGGACTGCACGATAGCTTTCATCGCGGCTGCCGGCATCCTGCCCATGATACATCCTGTCGAAAACCTCTGGCCAAGAGGACACTGTCGCAAGCAAAAACTGTACGGACCAGAAAGGTCAATTACAGAAGACATATAAATTCATACTAGAGTCAACATTGCAGGTATAGATAATGTCTTCGAAATGAACAAAACAAAACCAAAAAAAAACAAAAAAAAAAAAAAAAAAAGAAGAAGAAAACAATATAATGCAAAAATACAAATTCGCCGGTCAATTTTAATTATTGCCTTGTAATAAAGTTGAAAGTTACTAACCGAAGATTTGATATCTTTTCAAACAGAAAGTGCCAGGGGTACTGACGTTTGTGCAAGCTTCTGACATTTCTGGACAAAATAACTGGAGGCCTGCCAGTCAGTATGGCGACTTCAAGACGGAGGTGAGCTCGCAACATTTGGGTAGAATTTCTGCAGTTACCGACACAAAGAAAACATTGCCGATGGCGAAAGAGGCCTCAGCCTTCTTACGCATTTTGTAAAAGCGTTGTGTTGGGGAAAAAAAAGGAGGGGGGGGGGGGAGACTGAATAATAATTTTTAAAATTGTATTAATGATATGCTAAAATGTGAAAACTGAATTTCTGAGTGTATCAAATATTTGTATAAGCACACAATTTAAACATAACTTTGCATAATATGATGAGAGGGAGTGGGGAGAGGGGCAATTATACTATTTCACATTTAGGATGCTAATTTTCGGTTTTTTATTTAATTTTTGTGTGTGCAAAGATTAGGAATGATGGTTAAAGGTGCCAGTACCTCCAAGCTATGGCGCCCCTGGAAGGTTCATAAGTATTGTTCTCCCTTGAGCAAGGGAGATTTGTGTCTTAACAATTAACAAGAAACAATAAAGTTGCGTTGCCTTGGACAGTTTCACATCATGGCATGGTAGATCCTATGTGTCAGCGTTGATTGCAAGTGCACGAGACAGAAGGTTGTGGATAGACATGACTACCACCGCGACACGGACATGGACGAAGTTATACTATGGGAAGTAAAGGTTGCCTTCATAATGCTGAACACATCAACCACCGAATGTTCTATAACATATAGGTCTAGCCCTCTATACCCAGGAAGCCGCCATGGTGTAGCGTCCTAGACGTTCGCCTGCGGATCGTATGGTCGTGGGTTCAAATCCGGACTGTGCTGTACTTTTTTTAAAGGATATTTACTCCCAGGTTGACCCAGCCTTAAATCGGTACCAAGTAGATGTCATGGGAAGTAAAGGTGGCCGGCGTGATAAAGACCACATCACGGACAAAATGACGACTGGTCCTGTAAAATATAAAAGCTATATTTGCTCATTAAGCCTGTGGCGTGGGAAAAGCTCCTCTACTATATACCTAGTTCACATAAGGGCAGGGAAAATGCTTCTTTACTATATACCTAGTTCACATAAGGGCAGGGAAAATGCTTCTTTACTATATACCCAGTTCACATAAAGGCAGAGAAAATGCTTCTTTACTATATACCTAGTTCACATAAAGGCAGGGAAAATGCTTCTTTACTATATACCTAGTTCACAGAAGGGCAGGGAAAATGCTTCTTTACTATTTACCTAGTTCACATAAAGGCAGGGAAAATGCTTCTTTACTATATACCTAGTTCACATAAGGGCAGGGAAAATGCTTCTTCACTATATACCTAGTTCACACAAGGGCAGGGAAAAGGCTCCTTTACTATATACCCAGTTCACATAAGGGCAGGGAAAAGGCTCCTTTACTATATACCTAGTTCACATAAGGGCAGGGAAAATGCTCCTCTACTATATACCTAGTTCACATAAGGGCAGGGAAAATGCTTCTTTACTATATACCTAGTTCACATAAGGGCAGGGAAAAGGCTCCTCTACTATATACCTAGTTCACATAAGGGCAGGGAAAAGGCTCCTTTACTATATACCTAGTTCACATAAGGGCAGGGAAAAGGCTCCTTCACTATATACCTAGTTCACACAAGGGCAGGGAAAAGGCTCCTTTACTATATACCTAGTTCACATAAGGGCAGGGAAAAGGCTCCTCTGCTATATACCTAGTTCACATAAGGGCAGGGAAAAGGCTCTTCTACTATATACCTAGTTCACATAAGGGCAGGGAAAAAGCTCCTCTACTATATACCTAGTTCACATAAGGGCAGGGAAAATGCTTCTTTACTATATACCTAGTTCACATAAGGGCAGGGAAAAGGCTCCTCTGCTATATACCTAGTTCACATAAGGGCAGGGAAAAGGCTCTTCTACTATATACCTAGTTCACATAAGGGCAGGGAAAATGCTTCTTTACTATATACCCAGTTCACATAAGGGCGTGGGAAAAGGCTCCTTCACTTTATACACAGTTCACATAAGGGCAGGGAAAAGGCTCCTCTACTATTTACCTAGTTCACAAAAGGGTGTGGGAAAGGGTCTATATTTTATATATTTCATGTTGCAGGTGATGAGTTCTGGATCAGTGAGTCACGCCGGGCAACCCATTGGAGTCATTGTAGCAGGTAACAATGCAAAGTTTGCAGTAAGCGTCACAATACAATATCTTCCTATGTTATTGCAATATGACACACCATTGAGAGTGTGTACGTCACTGTCAATGTATCAACGATGTCTTGAATTACTGAAACTAAAGTTGGCCTCTCTGGCTTATTCGCTGCTAAAGAGATTCCTGATTCCGAGGTACCTGGTTCAATTCCAGCTGAGTATGATTTGTCAGCAGACCGCTTTGCTTTGATTTTGACCGGGGCATCTAGAGTAGTATTAGGCGTTGCTGATCCATATAAGTAGGCGTTTAGACGTTTGAGGATTGCCTCCTCTTCGTTCAAGGGTCAAATTGTGACCTGTCTCCCCCACCACCGCCCCCACCCCTCAAGATGGCGTTTTTGGCGTCACCTCCTACTAGACCCCTAAGATGACGGCCTTTTATCTTGTTAACTTTGGTTATGATTTGTG